TAGGCGGCTTTGCTATAAAGGTGCGCAAGGCGTCTAGGTCGCGTAAGAGTTTCGACAAGTCATTGGTTTCTCGCAAGGTAGCCTAAGTCGTCATAGTACAAGCTCAAATCGGCCAAGTGTTCAATACTTGGCCAGGCGACTCTATACACGGACCAAGGAGCTTTCATCAGTGCTACTACTACTTGTTGTATTTCAACAAGTGTAGTCGTGCTGATGAAAGCATCAGGGTGGGTACCAGGATTCTCTGCAAGTACTTAGCAGTAGGGTCTGCAGTAGGGCCAAAATTGGAGTAGAGCAATAATTTCAGGTTTTGGCTCTGCTGATGCCTGCAGGCATTCTAGTTGGTAGGTAGTAGTCCCTACTAGCGACTCCAAGTGTCGGGACATCTATCAGAGCTCTTGGTGAAATACAGGGCGAGTCCATGCCTGCAGTAGGGCCAAAATTGGAGTAGAGCAATAATTTCAGGTTTTGGCTCTGCTGATGCCTGCAGGCATTCTAGTTGGTAGGTAGTAGTCCCTACTAACGACTCCAAGTGCCCAGGCATTCATCAGAGATGCTGGTGAAATACACGGCGAGTCCATAGATCCTGCAGTGGGGCCAAAACTGGGGTAGAGCAATAATTTCAGGTTTTGGCTCTGCTGATGCCTGCAGGCATTCTAGTTGGTAGGTAGTAGTCCCTACTAGCGACTCCAAGTGCCCAGGCATTCATCAGAGATGCTGGTGAAATACACGGCGAGTCCATGCCTGCAGTAGGGCCAAAATTGGAGCAGAGCAATAATTTCAGGTTTTGGCTCTGCTGATGCCTGCAGGCATTCTAGTTGGTAGCTAGTGGTCGCTACTAACGACTCCAAGTGCCGAAAAAACTATTGGCGTCATCGGCGAAATACGCCAGCAGTCGGAATTTGGGCCCACTACAGCCAGAACTTGTTTAGGGCCATAATTTCTGGTTTTGACTTTTATTTTTTGTCACTGGTCCTAGATGGTGCCTATAGGTGCCTAGTAACGACTCAAAGCGTCAAAAAACTTATTGGGTCAATCGGCGAATTGATAAGCGAAAACGCGGAAATGAGCCCGTTTTGCGTGCATCCTCTACTGGCTTGCTACTGGAAAACGACGAGAATTTTGATTTTTTTTTAAAGTTAATGTTTGGCCTTGGATCGTGGCGCCGAATAAAACTTTTGTTTTATTACGCTCCCGCCGGCCCAATTCCACTACTGCCTTGCTACTGGGCGCGGCTCGGTTTGGTAATTTTTCTCCAAAAATCAATGTTTGGTGAAAATGTTGCCTACTGCCTTGCTACCGGGCGGCGACCGCGGGAATAAACTTTTGTTTTATTACGCTCCCGCCGGCCCATTTGCACTACTGCCTTGCTACTGGGCGCGGCTCGGTTTGGAATAATTTTCTCCAAAAATCAATGTTTGGTGAAAATTTTGCCTACTGCCTTGCTACTTGGCGTCGAATTGGAATTGGTTTGGAATTCACCAAGATCGTATTACTGACTTGTACCCGGACGTTAGCTATGAATTGGTTTGGAATTCACCAAGATCGTATTACTGGCTTGTACCCGGACGTTAGCTATGAATTGGTTTGGAATTCACCAAGATCGTATTACTGGCTTGTACCCGGACGTTAGCTATGAATTGGTTTGGAATTCACCAAGATCGTATTACTGGCTTGCTACTAGGCGTCGAATTGGAATTGAACCAAATTCACCAAGATCATACTACTGCCTTGCTACTAGGCGTCGAATTGGAATTGAACCAAATTCACCAAGATCATACTACTGCCTTGCTACTAGGCGTCGAATTGGAATTGAACCAAATTCACCAAGATCGTACTACTGGCTTGTACCTGGACGTGAAAATGAAATCTCGTCTAAAATGTCACTACTGGCTTGTTACTGAAGCAGTAGCAGTGCAGTAGTGGTCGAAATGCCCGATTTGGCCAGTTTTGCTATCGTAAATGGATCTCGATAGCAGCGCGCACTCTGAAAAATGCATTCTTGTACCCAAATCTATGCACAGGGCTGCAGTAGTGCCTGCCAGTAGCAGTTTTGAGCCAAATTCGTCAAGTTGGCCGGAAATTTTTTTTTGGTGACAAGATAGCAAATTGTCTAGAATGGTTATAAAAGTGAGTTACATAGTCCATAGTGTCGTATTTAGTGAGAAAACAGCAAAACACGGATCGGGAATCGATCTGTGCACGGATCAAAGTGCTCGAAATGGACTGCAGATAGCATATCTAGTCGTCTTATGCCTAGTCTAGCACAGAAATATAGTTTAGTCGCACTCTGCAAACGATAATTTGGCAGTTCACTTTTCGAACGGCCCTTATGCCTGTAAAAAAGTGAACTGCCAAATACGATGGAAAAGGCGGCCGTTCCAGAATCGGCCATATTAGCCTGACTAGACTGCATCCCGTCCGCTCTGCAAAGTTAACCAGGCTCAAGCGTGGGTAGTACTCAGGTGGGTGACCACTGGGGGAGTCCACGTGCTGATTC